GAGCGAGCGAGCGAGCGAGCGAGCGAGGGAGGGAGCGAGCGAGGGAGGGAGGGAGGGAGGGATTGAAGGAGGAGAAAGGAGGGAGGGACAGGGACGGAGGAGCGAGGAGGATGATCTTACCCGGACGATGACGGTCTTTCCCCATGGCTTCCTTCCTGGGATGCCGATGGCGGCGACTGGATGTCCATGCCCCTGCTCGCAAGGCTCACGGGGTTGTCAAAGAAGCAATCTCCTCACGTCGGGCCTCGAGTCATGCCCAGCAGCTCCGTTGGTCTTCTTCAGCAGCTGGGGCAGGGGGGTTCGATGTCAGCCGTTTCAGCTGGGGAGGAGGAGGAGGAACCTTTTCCCAGCTCAGCTTCGCGTCCTCGCAGAGCTTCAGCATGCGCCTCCCGTCGATTCCGCATCTGCGCTGGTGTGAGGAAGGGGGGAGGAAGAACAACGAAAGAGGAAGGAAGGAAGAGCAGGGAGGGAGGGAGGAGAAGGTGGGGGAGAGAGGAAGAGCGGGGGAAGGGGGGGGGCGGGGAACGAGGTAGGGGGAGAGAGGAAGAGCGGGGGGGAGGACGAGGGGCAGCTGGTGTGGGGAGGAGGGAGACTCACTTGGACAGGGCGTGCGCGACTTCATGGTTGAAGTTTCTCTCCCAGGCATCGAAACTTGTCACAGTCACAAGCTGGGACAGACAGTCAGAGAGCAGAGGGACAGGGGAGGAGGGAGAAGAGGACGAGGACGAGGAGGCGAAATAAGACAGGGCCACACGGGAGCCAAGGAAGGAGGAGAGGGCAGAGGGATTGAAGGGGGGGGGAGAGGAAATAGTATGAGGCTGAGGGACACACGAGAAGAGGAAGAGGGAGGAGGAAAGAGGAGGAAGGAGGAGGGAGGAGGAGGAGGGAGGAGGAGGAGGAGGAGGAGGAGGAAGGAGAAAGAAGGAGGTAGGAAAGGGGGGAGGAGGGACGAGGAGGACAGTGCATGGTAGCACCTCATCGGTGGTGAGGGTGAGCAAGTAGTTTGCCAGCTCCTTGCAGTCCGCTACGCTCCCCCATGTGTCGTAGGTGCGATGGTGGAGCTGTAGAAAGTCCCTCGAGAAGACCGTCACCAGCAGCCCCCGCTCAGTCCCCACCTGCCCAGAGCTCAAACGGCTCTGCGCCTCCCCCCTGTGGGTGAGGACGAGCTTCCTCGGGGGCTCTAGGGAGACCTGCATGTCCTGCATGTCCTGCAGGTCCACGAGGAGCTTCTTGCTCGACCTGCTGCCCGTCTCTGCCTTCCTCCTCGTGCTCTTCGCTGTGATCCTCGTAATGGGCACGAACGCGGTGAGAGGAGAGCAGCGGCATTGAGCCTCCCACTCATCCTCCCGGTAGGACGAGGAGGAGCCGGAGAGGAGCTGCTGGCGCAGGACGTAGCCCGACGCGTGCTTGAACCTGCCTCGCGTCTCCTTCACCACCTTCTTGAGCAGACTCTTGGCCTCGTCGCTAACGTCGAGCGCGACTCCATGGATGACCGCCTTCCAGGCGTCCCCCACCTCCTGCTCCAAGTGCTTCACCTCGTCAAGGATGCGGTCGGCAGAGACGAGGGGGAGGCGATCTGTGATGATCCAGATGTCCGAGCAGTTGGACGCCACGCGCTCTATGTGCTCCAGCGCTGTGGTCCACTCCATCCTCCTGCCCTCCTTCGTCTCCACCGACAGGCTCATCTCGATGCTTCGCTTCGCCGTCAGGCTCTCGGCCTCCTCCCGCGGAGTCGCGTCTGCCTCTGCGTCCTCCTCTTGCCCAAGTCGAGCTAGCCAAGGAACAACCTCGGCCATGACCTCCTCCTCGCTCTGGGTGGAGATCATACTCTCGGCGAGGTACGGGTTCTTGTTCTCGCACGAGAGGAGGTTCAGCCTCTCCATGGTGAGTGCATACCGGCTTCCTCCCTCCTGCGATAGCTCGCTGTGAAGGGCGCGAACGATGAGTCGCTTGACCGAGTCGAGCCGGAGAGGGTCGAGCACATCGAGGATGATGACCGGCGCCTGCCCGAGGCCCCGGCCGAAGACGGAGGAGACGGGGGGCTGGAAGCTGATTAGCTTCTCTGTCAGTTGCTGGCAGCCCGTTCCCCTGAGGGCGATGCAGGAGGGCCAGTAGTACTCCACCACAGCTCGCCGAAAGTCCTCGCTGTGCAGCACCATGCGCTGCTCGCCGTTGCTGAAGCGGACGAGGAGGTGCGGGGAGAGGGCTTTCAGTATGAGCTCGCGCTGGATATCGGGGATCACGTGGTTGGGCCCCATGGTGAGGAGGAGGTTGTGCAGGTTGGAGGTAACGATCCCGTCGTCCCCGGACTGCAGCAGGACCTTGAGGATAATCTCCACCGCCCGCAGCTCGGGGAAGTCAGCGGCCTTGGGCGCCTCCTGCCTGAACTCTGAGCCGAACACGTTGAACTCCCGCTCCATCCAGGGGAGGAACTGCTTGAGGTAGAAGAGGAACAGCTTCTGATCCATCGAGTCGATCTCCGTCACCAAGTTGCCGGGCCGTGACTGCTGGCAGGCAAACAGGACGAGGGTTTTGAGATACCGCGGGTTCCCGCTCTCACTCTTGAACATGCGCATGAACAAGCCTGTCGGCTGCCGCAGCAGGTGGCGGCCATGGCGGAGGATCGTGGAGTAGATCAGTGAAGTGGCCTCTGGCTTCGACAGCTGCGGCAGCCTGACGACCTGCGCTCCCTTGGCGTCCTCGAGCGTGTCCGACCCCACCTTCAAGGTAGCAACGCACCATACGCGCACCTGGCTGCTCCGCAGCCTGCTCTGGACCTGCTGGAGGATTTCTCCGACGGACTCCAGCTCGGAGCTGGTCAGGCCATCGACGAAGAGGCCGAAGTTGTAGTTGAAGCCGCCCGAGTACAAGTCGAGGAGGACGGCGCGGAGGAGGTCGAAGGAGTTGGACTTGGGGCCTGGGAGGATCTTGTCTGCGAGCCACTGCTGGGCGAGGGAGTGGGACTGGAGCTCGAAGAGCTCGACAACGGAGTCGAGAATCTCCCGCACGAGGTGTAGGCAGACGTCTTTGGAGGAGTGCCAAGGGGCCTTGTAGAAGGAGATGAGGAAGAGGTGGGAGGAGGACTCGAGGTACTTCTTGCGCCACTCCAGGTCACCTGTCCTGCTCTTGAGGAAGAGGAAGTGCTGAATGCTCAGCGAGAAAGTCTCGTGCTCTTGCTTGCCCGGCAGCGGGGACGCGGCGTCTCGCTCCTCAAACCTCTTGAGGCCCTGCCTGGGCGCCAGCTGGTTGGGGTTCTTCCTGGATTTCTTCTGGGCAGCCTGAGCGTCCGACTTGATCTGCTTCCTCAGCTCTCGCGCCTTGGTCCTCATCACGGATGCAACGCGAGCGAGCATGGTGGTCCTGCCCGACCCAGCAGGGCCGTGCAGCACGAAGAGGCTCCTCTTCTTCTCCTCCAGGGCCCCCATGAGAACCTCGTAGGAGGAGTTGAAGATGCCGTCGCCTCGATGCCGCAGCTCGTTCCTGCTGTAGATCCCGTCAACCTTGAGCCACTCGCTCTCCTCCCCGCGGAAGAGGCTGCACATGCTCAGCAGGAAGTTGGTGAACTTCTCTCGCTCGCCCTCGTCCATGCTAAACCCCGAGATGCACGCGTTGCTCACGAGCTCCTCCTCGTGCCGCTCCTGCTCGAACCGCGAGATGGCATGGCAGTCCTGCAGGTGCAGTAGCTTGGGGGAGACGAGCCGTTCGAAGACGGAGAAGGTAGAGGAGAACGCGTCTAGCATGAAGCCGCAAAGCTTCTCTCTGCTCCACGACAGCTGAGTGCTGTACGACTCGACCGAAGACGGGAGGCTGAGGGTCACAGGAGCCGGCAGGTCGTCGATCTTGAGCTCGTTGGTGAGCTTCTGGATGGCAGCTCGTCCTGCTCCCTCATGCGGGTACACCACTAGGGCGTCGCCCTGCAGCTCGTGGAGGACCTGCCCGTCCTCCTCCACCACGCTCGTCGTGTAGACCCTCGAAAGCTTCCGGCAGGGGCTGAACTTGGAGGAGGTCATGGCAAGGAAGACGTCCTTCTCCTTGTTGCTCATCTCCTTGGCCGCTCGCTCGGCGTCGGAGAACACCTTCTCGTTGAGCGTGAAGGGAAGGCCGGAGACGAAGACGCGGCAGGAGGAGGAGGCAGGGTCGACGATGTTCAGGTAGACCTTCTTGGAGTTGGCCCCCCAGGGACGCGACCTATCGAAGCGGGAGGAGATGGTGGAGGAGATAGCGCGGTGCTTGTAGACGAGCACAGCAGAGTCCTTCTCCTGCCGCAGGGAGCTGAACTGCGACATTGGGACGAGGTTGAAGAACGTGTGCACCTCCTCTGTCTTCACATCCCACGGCAGCCCCGTCACCTTGAGGAACCCGACAGGGTCGTTATCCCCGCGCTCGATGATGACGCATCCTCCCGCACGCGCCCTGTCCAAGTCCGAGGTGGAGGAGGCTGCAGGAGCAGAGGAGTGCATGGAGGAGCGGACGAACTTGGCCTTGTGCATGTTCTCTTTGACGCAGAGCGCAAGCTCGGTGCTTTCGTACAGCAGCTCCGCCCATCCCGTGCTCTCTCCCTCCGCCCTCGAGCTGTTGGCATGCACGTTGAACTCCTTCAGGGGGATAGAGAAGGTCGACAGGACCGTCTTCTCCTGCGTTCCCGGCGGGATGCCGACGACTTCAAGGAGCGTCAGGTCAAAGTCGTCGTTGACCATCGTGACGTACTCGTTGCCCGCGAGCTCACACCCCTTGATCCGCACGCTGATGGTATGGTTCCTCAGCTGCTGCTTCTGGGTGGCGAGCAGGGCAGCAAGCTGCGCCTGCTCCCCGCGGAAGGTGACGACTGCGTTGCTCCCCCGGTTGCAGAGGAAGCTCAGGTGCGGGTCGATGTCGTCAAGGGTTATGGGCCTCTGCATCTCGAACGTCATCCCCTCCAGCAGCCTCTCCGTCATGTACTGCAGCCTCGGCTCGCTCGCGCTCTTCTCCCCCTCCTTCGCCTCCAGCCCCTTCACCAGCACTGAGCTCCACAGCACCCGCGCATACGCAGAGGTCTTGAGCCCCTCCAGCTCCAGCGAGAAGTCGCGGCAGCGCTGCCGCTCCCGGAGGGGCTTCAGCAGCTTCTCCTCCAACATGTCGGCATGCAGCCGATGCCTCGCCCGCTCGGCCTGCGGCAGATGCTCGAGGGAGAAGAACTCGCGGAGGAGCCCAGGGACCTCCCGTGCGAACCTTTCGCTCTCCATGCTCTTCCTGTCTCGGAGGAAGCACGTCAGCTCTGACTCTAGCTCTCCCTCCACCAGCAGCTTCTCCTCCCCTGCCGCGCCTTCCTGGGGACGGGCAGGAGGGAGAGGAGAGGCAGCACGCAGCTGTAGCTCGAGGCAGGAGGGCAGCTCGTCCTTGCCCGTGGGGCTCAGGCCGAGCTCCTTCAGCTCCTCGCTGCGAAGGGAGAGGAGCGAGAAGTTATCGCGGCTGAGCTGATCGTGGTAGATCTGCCCGATGACGAACATGCATAGGAGCCGCTGAGTCTCGTCCTCCAGCCGGAGCCTCGACCCCTTCACCTCCTCAGCAATCCTCCAGCTGAACTGATCTCGCATCCAGGCGAGCTCAGCTGGGATATTCCCCTCACAGGAGGTGAGAAGTCTCGGAAAGAAGCTCCAGTCCAGCCACACCAGGTCGATGCCAAATCGCCTGCTCGCCTTCCTCAGTGCTGGCAGCACGCAGCTGTGGAGGAGGGAGCGCTCGGCGAACGTGTCTTGCGGTGTCCCGCCAACGAAGAGCCGAGCAGGCACCAGCTCTCGTCCCTCCTCCTCCAGCCCCGTGATGACAACCTGCGAGCCTACACTCTTTCCCTTGAGCAGGTTCAGCCGCATGAGCTCGCGGACTTCATCCGCATACTTGACGGTGGGGAGAGCGATGGCGAACGCGGCGGACTTGCGGTGGGAGCTGCTGAAGTGCTTGTGGGAGGTGCGAGGTCGAGGAGAGGACGTCTTCCCGCTAGCCGCCTGCTGCGACGATGCCACTGAACCCCCGCTGTCCGTCCTCTTGAAGTCATCCGTCTCCGTCGTCTTGTCGTCGTCACTGTCTTCAGACTCTTCCACCGAGATGCGCAGGACGGCGGAGGAGCGGGAGGTGTCGACGGAGGCGACTGAGACGCTGGCATGCTTGCACACGCACGTCATGTTGAGGAAGGAGCCCGCCGCAGCATGCAGACCGACTTTAATGGCCTCGACCCCCTGGTTGCCGTCTGCCGTGAACTTCACGCGCAGCAGGGCCTCGGACGCGTGCTCCTTGCTGCACAGGGCCTCTGCCAGGCACTCGAAGTTCTCCTCGCTGAATCTCGAGCCTGTCCAGTGCTTCTCGCAGAAGGAGGTCACGGCCGACTTCCTTGACTCCTTGAAGCCACTGACAAGCTTCTGCAGACTGTCGATGAACTTCTCCGCGTCGTTCTGCTTGCCCATCGCCAGGAAGATCTTGGTGTCGCGGAAGTGCGTCAGATTCCGCAGCCTGCTGACGGCAGTGACTACGTCCACACCCTCCAGCGGCTTCTCCGACTCGCCAAGGAGGCCGTTGGCCTGTTCGACGACCTTCTTGACAAGATTCTGAAGGTGCGGGTCCAGCGAGGGAGCTGACTTGATGACGTCAAAGAGGAAGCTGTCGTGCTCCTGCGCAAGGTGAGAGTAGTGGAGGAGGAGGTAGGACTTGAGAGGGTCCAAGAAGCTCAACTCCACCACGTCCTGGTTCTTCTCCATCCGCACCAGGCTGGTCAAGCACATCTCAAGGTCCCGCACGAGGAGGTGCAGCGCTCCCATGCGGATCTTGGCATGGCAGTAGTGGAGGTTCCTGAGGATGCGCGGGAGGAACTCGTATGCGTACTTCCCTCCGACTCGCGCCAGGTAGGGAGCGAGCTCGAGCAGCATCCTCGGCCTCTCTGCCCGCCATAGATGATCGTCGAGGTGCGCAGGCTTGGAGATGCCCTCGTCTGCAAGCCAGGAGAAGACTTGCCTCTCCATCTGAAACATCCTCCGCGCGCTCTCCTGCTCCTGGAAGCTCACCTTCATCTCTTCCAGGGTCGGGAACCCGATCCTGATCGTACCCGCCACATCGAAGATCTTGTGCCGCTGAACAGTGACGGCAGGTATCACGCCGAAGAGCTCGTCCTCGGCTACCCAGTAGCTCTCGGCCTGCACTGATCCCTCCTCCTTGACGATCAGGTAGCGAGCGTTGGAGGCTCTCAAAGCGATACGATGCCCTTCGTCGGTCGAGTGGACGGAGACCTCGAACGTGTCTCCCGCTAACATGCTCCCTGCTCCATGCGGCTTCGAGATGATCCGTCCATCAGCTGCAAGCGACCAGTACTTGCCCTGGTTCTTGGAGCGGATGGCAAACTCAAACGCCGTTTCGACCCTCTCCAGCTGGAAGATGCAGGCATCGGTAGCTGCGAGGCTGCGGGAGACAGCGCAGAGCTTCCCGTCGTTGGAGAGAGTCAAGATCCGGTTGTCGTTAGAGACGAGGCAGATGGCAGCGCCGGAGCACAACGTGAGGGGACGGGACTCGGCCGCGCTCCTCTGCTTGCTCAGTGCAGGGATGAAGATCCCCCCGAGCTGGTGGAGGCCTCGCTCGCTGAAGCTGCCATGAAACCCTAGCAGGCGCATACCCTCTGGCGGCTTCAAGACGATCTCCGAGCCGTCGGTGATGCGGCCGAACTTGTACTCACTCGTCGTCACCTTCCCCGTCTCCTTGTCGACCGCCGCCGTGACCAGTCTCAGCTGCCCGATGACCCCGGGAGCGAGCCGTTGGCTGATGACGTACCCGACTTCAAGGATCTCCTCCTCAGGCTTCAGCGGCTGGTTGATCATGACGGGCATGTTCTTTCCCAGGTCAACCGACCTCTTGTCGGGCTTTGCGCCGCGCTGACCCTCCCTGACGTAGGTCACCTGAAGGCCATGGATGTGGCCGGTAGACCAGATGGAGATCTCAGACATCCTGCACTTGTGAGACAGATAGTCATCGAAGAAAGACCAGTCGTCAAACGTCTCTGCTCCCTGGGAGGATCCTGTCAATTCGCTCCGCACCACATTCGCTCTCACGCCGATCTCGTCCTCCTCTGCCTTCTTCCTCGCCTTCGCATCGCGAACGCGCTGCCTCTCTACCTCTGCAGATTCCTTCGCCTTGCGCTTTTCTTCCGCCAACGCGAGGGCCATCCTCTCATTCTGCAGCCTGATTCCATCATTCTCCTCCTCGATCAGCCGTGACCTCTTCCATGCTCGCAGTATCCCATCATCCCCACCAGAGATCAAGATGCTGTACGCATAAGGGATCTTGTGGAAGACAGCAAGACATCTGACCGACGTGTTGGGCCCGTGACAGGACGCGAGTCTTTTCCCGCTCTCAATGTTCCAGGCCTTGATGGTTCCATCGCGATCCCCCAGGTACAACAAGCCGTCGATCCCGACTGCGGCTGCCCATGGATGGCAAGAGCAAGAAGGCTTCTCCTCGTCATTCTCTTCCGAATCTGCGTCAAGGCTGATGACGCGCTTGCAAGTCAGCGTCTCTCCCTCCCAAATCCGAACGCTCCCGTCCTCCGAGCAGCTGCAGAACCCTGCTGTCGAGTTCCTTCCATCTGCTGCTCTTGGGAAATCCGACTCCTTCCCAGGAAACTCGCAGCCGATCAAGCACGTCACAGCTTGAGTGTGACCTGTAAGGTTCTGCAGGCAGAGCCTCTTGCTCACGTCCCAAACTTTGATCACGGAGTCGTACCCCGCAGACAGCAGAAAGCCGTTCACCACCAAGAGCGTCAGGATCGGCAACTCGTGCCCTGTCATCATCCCTGAGCACGCCATGCTCTCAACCTCCCAGATTCTTATCGTTCGATCGTTTCCTGCCGTCAAGACGATGTCATCGTTCATCCCACAGATAGCCCGAACGAACCCTGCATGTCCGTTGAGCGAGCCAACAAATTCAAACCCCTTCCGCAGGTCCCACACGTTGACAACCGAGTCCCATCCTCCAGAGAAGAGGTACGTGTCTTTCACCAGGCACAGACTAGCGACAGCTGCTGTGTGCGCCTGTATCGATCGCTGCGGCTTCGGGAACTTAGCCTTCCCCCCCTGCACCTCCAGTAGCTCCTCGAGTTGCCAAATGTGAAGGTTGCCGTCCATGTCCCCGGTGTACGTGAGACCATTGTGCGGGTTGTAGACTATGCTGCGGAACGGCGCTTCCTTGGTAGAAGAGCTACAGAAGAGGTGTCGTGCATACTCTGTGTCATTCCTGGGACCCCTCTTCCTCTCGGGTGAACCGAAAAGCTTTCTCGGGCTATCGCCTGACAGCAGCAGGGTTCTTCCCCTACCTTTCCGCGAGGGAGAAGCTCCAACAATGCTCTCAAAGTGCTTCTGCATTTCTTTTCCGATCGCACTCTTGGCGTGCCGGAGAGGGGAGGCGTTCCCAGGCGTGCTCGCGTGCGTCTCATCCTTCTCTGCCTTCTTCCTCCTCGGGGTAGTGAGCACAAGCCTCCTCCCGCTCTGAGGGCGAGAGCTTGCCAGCAGTGATGTCACTCTGTGCGGGCTGCTAGCTGTCTTGGGCCTGGACGGAGAAGACGCACTCGCCATGTCTTCAGATCCTTGTCCTGCCTCTCACCATGTACAACCAACCGCCTGAATCCTTTTTTTGTTTTTCTTTTTTCTTTTTTTTGGTTTTACAGTGTGTCCCCCAGCAGCTTCTGATCGGATTGCCTAGGGACCCGCCTCAGATAAAACCGCGAAAGAAGTAAGAACTAGGTGGGGTGGGGTAATTACAGATATTCATGGGGTAGGGTAGGTACCAGAACCACACATTTCATCATTACTTTCGAGGCAAAGGAAGGGTAGGGTGATATATCATCAAGGAATCTCTGTGGGGAGGGGTAGTTGGGATACGATTTGGGGGGTGGATAAAAGCAGGGTTCCTACACCCACCGGCTATTTGGGCGGGGTATATGGTGGGTAGGGGTCCAGTTGAGGTTGTACCCATAATTTTACTCAAGTTTCCATGTTGGCCGTTACGCCTCAACTGTCGACTACAAGCCCGGTGACCACCCACCTCGCACAACTAGCGCCTACCCGCCGTCCTTGTACTAGTACCCCTACTTCCTAGATGTGTATTCGCTGTGAAGTACCGGTGCAATTCTTCTCCCCACCCCCTTGAGAATCAACCTGTGTAGTACTCCCTGCTAGCTGTTGTCAAACTCGCTGAAGGTCCGATTGAAGGGTAGGGGTACTCACCCCTACGAGGAATTACATACACTCCTCGAGTTCACACCCGTACTACGAAGAGACTTACACAGTGATTAGAGGGGTACAGTTTTATTTGGGTAGGGTGATTGACCCCACCTGAACTGGGTTATCACCCCCACTCCCGGCTGCCCCCTCCGGCGCTCGAAGAGGAAAAATGGAGAGGAAGGCCGGGAGGGAAGGAGATGAAAGCAAGAGGAGAAGGACAAGGATGGGATAGAGGGGGGAAGGAAGATGACAGGATCATTGAGAGATAGGTTACTTGTCAGTACCATACTCGTTCCAACCGTGTAAACCGTTTCCTTGCGCCTCCACATGTTTCCTCTCACTCCACCTGTCACTCCGCCTGCGTCCAGACAAGTGAGGGGAAGCAGGAAGAAATGTTAGTAGGAAACAAGGACAAGACGAAGTGAGAAAAAATATGATTCCCTGGAAAATCAATCTGAAAGAATCGGCGGGGAGTGCGATCTGGACAGAGAATAAGTAGAAGATTGTGATAGGCAAAAGTCAAGGTCAAAAGGATTCCAATCACCATCATCCTTCTAGACTATGAGCTTAATAACAGACGTCGACTCAATCTGTAAGATTGCTGACGCTGATGACAGTTGATTTGATCGCCAAGGTGCTTGTTGGTGAGGACTCCATCTCATCGCGATGGAGGTAGGGAGTAATGGAGCGGTGGGAGAAATATCAAATGATATTTCGCAGAAGAAGAGAACCTCATCGTACAAGGACAATCGGCTCCTTGTCACGTCTCGAATATGGCTCAAGGTGTCCGACCTCCGATGGGTAGCTGGCACTGTTGAGAGCGTTGACGAGAAGTGAGTCAGCTAGGTTGTGTGAGGCTTGTCTGAACATTGACTCAGGAACCTGACGATCCGAACCGAGGATGGAATGCTCGTCTCGGTCCCTCGAGGCAGCAACCGGATCAGTCAGAGAACTCCACCAGGGATGGTCGCCATCGACGACCTGACCGCTCTCCCGGATCTTGATGAGCCCAACATGCTAGACAGCCTGTGTCAGAGGTACCTGCAGCACAAGATATACACCCGGACAGGCCCCATCCTCGTTGGAATGAATCCCTGGCAAGACTTGCGGCTGTATGCTCCGGAAGTGCTGCACTCATATCGCAAGCAGCAGATGAACTCGATGCCCCCGCACGTGTTCGCCGTGAGTGAAACGGCGTTTGCGAACCTGCAGGCTGAGAGGAAGGATCAAACTATTCTCGTGAGTGGCGACTCGGGATCGGGGAAGACTGAGAGCACAAAATTCATGATGCAGTACTTGGCAGCTGTCGCAAACCACACCCAGAAGACAGCAAACATCGAGCAGCGTGTCTTGCAGTGTAACCCAGTGCTAGAGGCGTTCGGAAACGCTAAGACTCTCAGGAACGACAACTCTTCAAGGTTCGGAAAGTACATTGATATCAACTTCGACTCTTCGTTCGCCATCAGCGGAGCAAAGATTGACACGTACCTCCTTGAGAAATCTCGTGTTGTCTCCCAACAACCGGGTGAGCGAAACTTCCATATCTTCTACCAGTTGTGCTCGCAGGTGGGCAAAGATGCATACTTCAGCAACATCCTTGCGCTGAGGCCCGCTGAAGACTTCAACTATCTGTATCAGGGAGCACATGTCACGGTCTCTTACAAAGCTGCAAACTCATTTGAAAACACAGTCGAGGCCTTCATGGCCATTGGGATTCCACAGAATGAGCAAGAAGAGATTTTCAAAGTCATCGGAGCTGTAATGCACATGGGAAACATCAAGATATCATCAGACAAGGACGGCAACAGCGTCATCGATCCCAACTCTACAGACGCTATAAACTGCACAAGACTCCTTGGCTGCTCTCACCATGACTTGATCAATGCCCTGATGCAGCGACAGATCCAGGCAGGGATCCTGGGCTCAGGCGACAACTACCTAGTGGCTCAGACATGCCAACAAGCAATGGATGCAAGAGATGCGCTCGCCCGTGCCCTATACGAGCACATGTTCTCTGCTCTCGTGCAGCGTATCAACGTCTCATTTGGCATGGTAAACAACGAGTTGAATGGAACGAGCCAAAAGAACCACAAGATCATTTCCATCCTTGACATCTTCGGGTTCGAGCACTTCAAGACGAACTACTTCGAGCAGATGTGCATCAACTACGCCAACGAGAAGCTTCAGGGTCACTTCAACGAGTACAACTTCTCCTTGGAGGTGATCGAATATCAACGAGAGCAGATTGACTGGTCTTACAGCGACTTCAAGTTTGAGACCAACACCAAGTGCATCGAACTGATCGAGGGGAAGCGAAATGGCTTGTTCGCCCTGCTCGATGAACAGTGCATCATGCCCAATGGCTCGGACTCTACCTTCTGCACCAAGATCCAGCAGGAATTCGCCAGCCATCCACACTTCAGCGTTGTCAAGATGTCCTCCTCGCAATTTCAAATCAAACATTACGCCGCTGACGTCATCTACGATGCCAACGGCTTCTGCTTCAAGAACAAGGATCCAGTGCAACCCGCACTGGTCTCGCTCATGTGCAACCAAACGTCCCCGTTCGTGAAGGAGCTCTTCAAGCGCTTTGTGCACAATGACTTGTCCAGTATCGCGGGATCTCCTACCCGCGGCCGGTCAACCATCATCTTCGAGAGCGTGACGATGCAGTTTAAACGTCAGCTCGGCGACCTCATGGCGAGGATCAACGCGGCTCAGCCTCACTTCGTCCGCTGCATCAACCCCAACTCACAGAAGATGCCAAAGCTGATCGAACCGGAGATGATCCTAGACCAACTCCGCTGCTCGGGCCTCATGGAGGCTGTTCGTGTGTCTCGCGCCGGCTTCCCAGTCCGCATCCTGCACGAGGACTTCATCTACCGCTACTCCATCCTAGTGCAGCCCATCAACATCTCCGAGGACCGGCTCAACGTCATCGAGATGATCCGACAGATGAAAATCTCCATCGAGAACTTCCGTGTTGGACTGACCAAGGTCTTCCTCAGGAGAGCTGTGCATGAGAGGATGGAGGAGGACAGGAGCAGGCTGCTCGTGCGTGAAGCCAGCACGATTCAGCGCGTTTGCCGAGGTCACATGGCAAGGAAACTGTTCAGAAAGATCAAGAAGATGAGAAACGATGCAGCTCGGGCCTTGCAGGGGCAGTCGCGCATGGCAATCAACAGGATAAAGTATGCCATGCTCCTGAAGAAGAGGTATGAAGCGCTGCGGATCGCAGCAGAAAATGCAAAATTGGCAGAGTCGCAAGAGAAGGAGCGAGAGAAGGAGAGGGAGTTGGTGAAGGAGCAAGAAAGAAAGGAGGTCAGGGCCCCTCCCCCTCCTGCTCCTGTGGTCCCCGTGAAGGAGGTCGCGAGGCCGGCAAATGACGTCATCGTCGCTCCAAGAGAAATCCCCTTCCAGCAAACCCCCGAGGCGACTTACATCTCCGACCTGCTCTGGAGCATCCGCACGTCGGCCAACAGCTTCGACATCGATACGAAGAAGAAGGAGATCGAGGCGAAGATGGCGAAGAACAGCGGGTGGTACCAAGACGTCCTCAAGGCCTGCGAATCACTGTTGCAGGAGAAGCAAGACTTCCTGACTGAGATCAAGAACCTTCACGCAACGGTGGACCACAACGCCAAGAACAAGGTCGACGTGCTGACGAAGGAGATTGTCGGCAAGAACTCTGAGATCCACCAGCTGACCCAGTGGCTGGTGGAGGCTCGCGCACACGCCAAGGATCCCATCTACGTCCGCAGGCAGCTGGAGGAACAGTTCCAGATGAAGATCAGCTCCCAGAACCGCGTCATCGAGGAGGTGGTCCGCCAGCTGGAGTTGACCAAGGCCGAGCTCAGGTGGAAGGAAGCTGAGAACGCGGACCTTGTCAACCGCGTCAGCCGCCAGATGGCCTCCTCCTCAGGCCCCCGCATCGATCCGCACGACGGGCGCCTCTACTCGAGTGCCCAGCAGTACTCAAGCTCGAGAAACAGCTTCGACGGAGAGTTCTCCCCGTTCCGGTCGACGTCTGGGATCTCGCAGGAGCATCTCAAGGCTGCAATGCCGTCGGACCCTCTCATGCGCTCCAAGGACGAGCGCATCCGCGAGCTGTCGAGGCAGCTGGAGGAGCAGCAGAGGAGGTACGTGACGATGGAGCAGCAGCTCTCGTCCGAGCTGCAGCAGCGGAACGCGATGATGCACGAAGTGATTAGGGAGAAGGACATGAAGCTGGAGGAGATGGGCATCCGGCTCTACATGCTCACCGAGGCCGCGATGCGACAGAAAGACAGGCAGCTCAACGGATGGTAAAGAGCTCCGAGTGGAGAGAGAAGTTTCATGTGGAGATTGACACGTTGGTGAATGTAACATGTCCTTATCGCGAGCGTTGCCTCTCTTCCTTTCACTCCCTTCCAAATATTTCCTCTCCTCCATTCCTGCCTCTCCTTCCCAACATTCCTCCGTATCTCCTCTCCCTCTGTCATTATCTTAACTCTACATCTCTTCCTCTGTCATTATCTTAACTCTACATCTCTTCCTCTGTCATTATCTTATCTCTACAACTCTTCCTCTGTCATTATCTTATCTCTACAACTACAACAACAAAAATACATCTTCTCATGCTGCACTCGTCCTCAAGACAACCTCACTTCACCTCCTCCTGCCCTCTGCCGCCTTGCTCGCGTTCTCTTCTCTCCTGCCCACACCTCCACACAACAGAGCTCAACACCAGCCAAACTTTACCAGGACGTTAGGGATTATGTACAAGGCAGTCATCCCTACTACAGGGGCAGCGTCTAGGGAAGCATCGGGCTCGGGGTGAAGGACTTCATGCACTTGATGCCTGCAGGACCGAATCAGACAAAGAGCACATCCAGATTGTCTGTTTTAGCCAGTACCATCCACAACCATTCCTCATTCTCTCCCTCTCCCCTCCCCTCCCCTCTCCATCTCCTTGTTCTTTTCCCGCTCTCTTCTCGCCAGCTCTCTTCTCCTTTTTTCTCATCCTCCCTAGAACGTCCCCGCCTCCCTCCCCCCGCCTCCCTCGCCCTCAATCGCAGCAGCGACAGAACTCACGATTGCCCAAGTGCGAGAAGGTAGTGGTACAGTAGTCGATGTTCTGAAGGTTGTTATAGATGGCTGGCCACCTGCAACAAGCATATGAGCACAAGCTCGCACTAGAACCATCCCTGTACGTGTTGGGGGAGGCGCCGGCAGGGGCGATGTAGTCGTCAGGAGGCATCGGGATGCCTCTGAAGTAGAGGTAGTGATCAGGTTCACTGCTCTGCACGGGTGCAGTGGCAGTTTCCGTGTCGTCTTGCAGTTGGACGAACTGACGAATGAGGCTGAACATCCTGCGCTCGCTAGGTCAAAGGCAGGGAGCGGACATCAAGCCCACTCCCGATCTGCTTCACGTCTCTACTCGTCGAGATGCTCCTCTGAACGCTTCCTGTACTCCGCTCCGTCTTCTACAGGATTCTTCGCACTCAAATCTACTCCTCCCCCGCCCCTCACGAACGACCTCCTCTCCCCGACCCCCACATCTTCTGCGTCTTTCATATGCACCGCATCATGAGCTTGAACGAGTTAAGACTCATACCAGTGCAATGTTCTTTGAACATCTCCCTACACTCTTGCTCTCCTGTCGTCCGGTGGCTGAACTGAAACAATCGTTCGCCCTCATTTCAGCCATCGTGAACCTTTCTACCCGACTATCGCAGCTCAACTTGCCTCATTCTCTCCCACCCTTTCTATCCCATCAAGCACGTCACCTATCCTCCTCTTCTTTTCTCCTTCCTTTCTCTTCTCTCATCCTCTCCTCTTCCCTCGCCTCCGCCATATCGCTCCATCTCCAACCCGGCATCTCTATTTTCGGTAGAGCTCATACAGACCACAATTTCCACCCACCCCCCTCTCTCCCAATTTCACCCCCTTCTCTCCCCAATAGTACCCCACCATCCAAACAAACAACCCTTCTACCCCTGATTCTCCCTATAGACTACCCGGTACTCACCCTGTACCCCTTCGAGGGCACCACCCCCCACCTCCACCTATCGGAGATCTGACCTTGACCTTCCGACTTCCGACTTCACCACTACCCCTACCCCCTCCAGAACAGTATAAACTACCCCTACACGCAAAGTGTGCTAAACCCCAGTTTCTGCCTCCGGGTATGGACCCACCCCTCACTCATACCACTACCCCTACCCCCACAATTAACTTCTTTTTGTACCGTGTGCCCTGTGCCCCCTGGGTATCCACCCCTGAGTTTCCGTGATACACCACCCTCCATGTTCCATGTTTGGTACCCCACCCATTTCACTGAGGACCCCATTGCTTGCCGATACACCCCTGGTATCCGACCACCAACCCAGTCATAGAGTTTGAGAGAAGGGTATATTCTGTGGAGATGAGGGGGGTACTTTTATGACCCCACCCCCCTTTTCAACTCCGAAAAAAATGAACCCACCCGTTTAGCACAGACCCTCATTCCAACCTTCGATCTGAGATTGCGCCATGGCAGGCTAGCGCATGGAGTGGTGGGTATGGCTGGTGATCGCCGCGGGCGTCGTGCTGGTGCTGATGGTCGTCGGGATCATCTTGATGAAGAGGAGGAAGGGAGGAGGAGGAGACGGTGACCAGGCGAATGTGGAAGCGGCGGCTGAGCAGAGGTGCTCATGGCCAGAGAAAGTCGTGTCAGGATCGTGTACAAAGGAGGAGGCTGAGGAACAGGACGAGGACGTGAGGTTGGAGGCAGCGGTGGGGTTCGATGGATGGGGGCTGGTACAAACTATCGACGATCCCGAGAAGAAGAAACTCTTGAGCTCCAAGAGCGATGACGGGGATGAGGCCGATGCTTTCAACGGACTTTACGTGGGCAAGTTGGGCGGGGGAGTCGCCGATCCTCCTTCCATCGGTCTCGGTACAGTCTTCCCCGATCCTGAGAGTCACAATCCTCGTCCTGATCCTCATAGAATGATCGTCAAGAAGCTTCCTTCGCCGCCAAGTGTTGGAAACGGTCGAAGGTCTACATTCGACGAACATTTGCGAGCAGCCGATGAACCGGCAGTTGAGGCAGAGGCGGAGGCGGAGGAGGGGGGGACTAAAATTCTAGCACACATGCATGATTGGGGAGGAGAAGTGCCTGAAGATGAAAAGGACAATCGGCCTTCAGAAAACGGAAGCATACTGAGCCCTGCCATGGTCGAGGAGAACATAGCGGAGGATCCCTCGGTGACGCGGAAGAGGTTCACAGGGTACTCGCAGACACCTGCATCTCGGTAAGATACAGCAGAGGAGGCGGCGCGTGCGTGAGTTGAGACTTGCCGCCAGGAAGAGGAATGGCACGGACCTCGTTGGTGCCGCCGACCTCCAGCTGAGCTCGTGAGCGCGTTCCTTGGTGCCTTGTCGCTGTCCTGTGACGAGGATCTTGCAGATCTCCATCGCCGAACTCTTCGCGCAACTCTGAACATGGGTGGAGCGATGATTCCATCAAGTCTCGGACTCTCTCTTCCTCTGACTCCTCTGACTCTCCCGCCAGGTGGGTCCAGGGGTTCCGCGTCCGTGCGCCATCCATGTCTCCTCCTCAGACTCGATCGAGACGGAGGATCCTTGCGCTGCATCAAGAGGTTCGCCTTGCTTGCTGTTCGTGGAAGCGGAGTTGGAGGGAAGGGAAGAGAACGAGGAGGGAGGAGGAAGAGTTGGGGTGGGGGATGGGGGATGTCTCCAGGATGGGAGCGAGCGAGTGGGCGACTGGAGCGATCACGGCATGGGAGGAAAGGAGGAGGTGCGATAACTGCCTGTCTTAGATCTTCTCGGAGACTAGGACGCAGAACATGACGCGGCCAGTAGAGCTGCCAGGGGACAAGGTCAACCCGCTCTCCCTCGCTAGGCTGAACTGACGAGGGCGAGTACAGGGCGTCTCTTTCTATCAGTCAGGGGGAGCGCTGGCAGGGCGCATGACCTACACGTCGCTGGAGCATGTCTTAGTGCATGAGCCGACAGTGATGCCCGAGGGTGTGATAAACGACGAGGACGAGATGTGGGGGTGAGGGGGTGCGGGGTGAAGCTATTCTTTATTCTTTCTTTGGCATGAGTGAAGTCATACCATGCTTGCTAAAAGGCAAGAAGTGAGTTAGGTACAGTTCATACAGAGCGAGGTTTTCACAGAAGAAGTTTCAGCACGGAAACGCTCCAGATCTCAAAGATGTTCCCACGAATCGATGGGGCAGATTGGTTGCACAAGAGAGTAGACAAGAACGGCATACACAGCATACACATTTTGACAGCTCTTCTCATAGCGCCAGCAATTTCTCGAAGCGGTCGATAACCTGCGCAACGGTCACTCCCAATGAGAATGTCTTGAAGTCGCTGCTCACCAGCTTGACCGGCTTGAGGTTTTCGTAGGAGATGGATGACTTCTCCTCTGGACCCCTGTGTTGACGTCAGCACAACCAGCAGGAGGCGAGCAAGGAGATACTCGAGCTTCGGCTGCACTTGCATGTCCAGCAGCTTCCCCGCCTGTGTTCACGTCAGCATCCCCTCACTGCATGCGGTCAAACCGTCACCAGATTCTTCGCCACTCGGTTCGCCATGTCTGAGACAACACGCGCGCTGCTCAGCACCTGCATGCCGGGCGCAACGCCGCTTTGCAACGCCGTGAGCCGCGACGAGTCGACGCGAGCTAGAGAGCTTCCACTGGCCTCGGCAAAGGCAGGAGGAGGAGACGAAGCATGGTAGCTTGAAACCTGCTTAATCAGCATCAGCGATGGACAGGGGAGGAAGAGGAACTTGGAAGCAAGATCGGGAGGTGGGGGGAGGTGGGGCGGTTATGGAAGTGAAAGGAGTGCATGCTTGACCTGAAGGTCTGGGATGTTGTGAGGAACCATCGCAAGCTCCTGAGGAGTGGACGGCGACACCGGAGCTGCTCTTGCTGGAGCCACTGGGACCATCGCGCGAGAATCATCCATGGCGCTGGCTGGCTCCTTCACCGGGACAATAAGATTGAGCAGAGAAGATAAAGGAGACTCGACCTCCTGAGGCTTTGCAGCTTCTGACGGGGCAGGTCTTAGCGACACCTGGAGCTGTTCGGCCTGTTTCTTTGCTTCCTCCTCCTCTTTTTGCTTCCTCTCAACCGCTCTCGCTTCCTCTGCCCGCCTCTGCGCATTGATCCTCGCTTCCTCCTCTGCCCTTCGTCGCTCAATCATTTTCGCTTCTTCCTCTTCCTTCCTCTTCCTTTCCTTCTGCTTCTCAGCTTCGAGCTTCTCTGCCTCTTTGCGCTTCTCTGCTGTTAGTTTCTCCCTGGCCTCTTCAGCAGGGTCGGCCGTCAGGTCCTCCTGCTGCTTACCATAGAAGCCATGCCAGATAGCTTCACCTGTCTCATCCTCAATGATGGTGATCGAGCCATCTGCATTCTTCTTCGGCCTCCGCAACAGTCGCCCCTTCCACATGAACACATCCTGGTCGCCCTTGACCGCTTGCAACTCGTCCAGCATCGAGTCCAACAGCTTTTCGTCCGAGGACGCTCGGGACGTGTCGATGGGGATCGGAACACGGAGGAGCGTTCCAGGAACAGCTCCGAGCGGCACCTGGATCCTGAGGAGCTGCCCTTTGTCGTCTGTCGCCTCTAGGAAATCCAGAGGCTCGGCGTCATCGGGCACCATGATGCTGATGCATCTCTCTTGCTTCCTCCTCCTCTTCGTCCTCTCGTCCAAAAAGGTCGCCTTCTTTCCCCGCGTCAGCCTCACAATTCTCACCCGCTTCTCCCCGGGTGCCCGAAGGCCCAGCTCCACCTGAGAACCAAAGGCCCCGGTGAGGAGGGGAGTGACGTCGGTGACGGGCTTCCCGTACACTTCCTTCCCGTCCACCGACACGAGACAGTCGTCCACCATCACCTGCTTCGACTGCGCTGCCGGCCCGTCGGGCGCCAGAGACTTGACGTACATCCCTTTGTCCGATCCCACCCGAAAGATAATCCCGACGCCCGCCGGTTTCGGCAGCTCAGCCGTCTTGCCTCGCGTGAGGACAGGAGAGAAGTACTGGAACTCGCAGGTCCCGTTGTCGAGCACGACATTCCTGCGGAACTTGACAGAGATCGGCGTGCCGACAGGCCCTATGATGAGGCGAGTGACGATGTCGGGAGGCACCCCGAACGCCTTCTTGGAGTTCACGGAAATGAGGCAATCCCCTTCCTCCAGCAACCCGCATTCATCCGCTGAGCCGCCCAGCTCCATGCTCTTGATGTAGAAGCCGCCATCAGGCGCTATCTGAAACACGATTCCTATCCCTGCCTGGTCTGCTGCCGCTTCAGAACTCTCCTCTACCTCGAAGGAAGTTTCGGGCGAAGCTGACGAGGGAGGGGTCTTTGGTGAGCTCTTGAACAGCCGCTTGAGCATGCTTCACTCGGAAGGGCTAGTTTCGCCTCTGCTGCAGCCCCGTGCTTGCTTGTTAGAATCAACCAATCTGCTGGACTCGTTAGATGTCATGCAGCGAGAATCGTGTCGTTTTGCTCCCTCCTCCCTCCTCCCTCCTCCCTCCTCCCTCCTCCCTCCTCCCTCCCTCCCTCCTTCTCTCTCATTGTATCCTATTGAACCCTCTCAGAATTTCCTTCTCCTTCCTTTGCTCTTCTCCCTCCTGCTCCTCCTTTCCGCTCTCGTTTGCCCTGCATCTTCCGCCTCCTGGGATAAAGGCAAATAGCATTGCGAGGGGTGGGTCTGTAGCATAAGGGGGTACATGGCTGTCGGGGTACCTAAAGAACGGGTGATAATTACAGTAATATGTCGAGAACAAGGGGGTAGTAATTATTTTAACAGGGGTAGTGCAGATGAAGTTGTCCGAACTCGTTGAAAGGGTGGTGAGTAGAGATAATGGCAGAGGGGGGAGGGAAGCGACGGAGGAGGATGGAAGTGGCGGAGGAGTACGAGCTGGCGGCTCGACCCAACAGGAGCAGGATAGAAGATGTGTCGGAAGCTACGTGGATCACTCGCAAACAAGTCGCCATCCTGCAGCAGCCCCGAGGAAAGGTCCTACAAACCATGGGGCACATGGCTGGTGACGATGGTGCTGCTCGACAATGGCAGCTGCTACCAGAGGAGGCGCTGTTCATGGTGCAGCAAGGCCTCCTTGCTATGAGGTACAAGAAACTTGTGCGCTCAGATTGAGCTGACCATCAGCCTGTAGGAATGAGAAGGAAGCTCGGGCCATGGCGGTGACTGAAGCCATGGATCGGGTTTTCAGCGGCGGGATGTCTCCCTTCTTCTTTCACGCGTACGCAAAGATCCGCGATGCAGGGTTCGTAGCTGCGAGGGCAGAGGGGAACTTCCATGGCAGGCCGCTGCTCCATGTATGGAAACCTGAGCTGTCGAAGAAATGGCGAAAGAGCCAACCCAGCTTCGTCATGGGGGTGGTGCGATGCAGCGAAAGCCTCTCTTCCTCCTCCTGCGAGGAGCTTGTCAGGCTGCAGAGCCGTAGCAACTGTCCTCTGAGGATGGCGATGGTTGACGACTCGTTCGCCGTGACCTTCTTTGATGTCCATCCCAACCCTGACACCAGCGGAGCGGCCGGGAATCCGAGCTGCGAATTCCCTTGACAGGGAGTGACATGATCGGCATGTAACATTCAACCCTCACATCATCTTGTAACATTACAATAGTCTACCTCCTCCTCCTCGTCAAAAACTCTCCTCCTCCTCTCCCAGCAGGCACCCCCGTCAAGATCGCCTCGAGCCAGGGTCGTCGTAGATCACGTCGTGCACTTCCGTCGGCCGCCAGTAGAGGATCGACTTGAACTGCTCAAAGGAGATGCTCTCCTTCATCGCGTCGCCAGCCGCCGCCTCGATCATCTTCCGAGCTTCCAGCGACGTCACGTCCACGTCGTCCACGGCCTTCAAGACGGACCGGATGTGGCTGGCCTGCGTGAGCATCAGTGGCCTCCCTCAGGGGAGCGTCAGGGTACCTCGACTTCTCCTGTGCGCTTCACGTCGAAGAGGCTGAACGCCTCCTCGAGCTCGTTGGCGGTGAAGTCAACGGGAGGGGGGCCGAGGAACGTGAAGGAGAGCTTGCCGTGCTTGTCCGCCATCATCTTGTATCCCTTCGCCCATCGCAGGAGCACGTCCAGAAACTCGCGGCGCGGGATGAAACCGTTGCCCTCCAAGTCCATGTCGCACGCGAGGATCGCAAGGTCCTCGTCGTTGTACGGCGCGATCACCTCCTGGTCCAGGAGCTCTGCCAGAACTACTCCTAGCTGCTCCGTTCCGATCAGCTCAGTCGCGTCTACATCCACTTCGTTGAACGCCTCTATACACACTTCAACAAAGTCTCGCAGCTCTTCTTCGCTCTCCTCGAAGTTCTCGTCTACTGGCTTCTGCGACCTCTGCTCGCTATGATCCTCATGGAAGCTCTCTCCATCCTGTGAAGGTCGGGCTGTGTTGATATGCTCTCCTTTGTCCTCAGGGAAGTTCGAGCCATCCTCAATCGCGTTGTTCATTCTTCTCCACCTCAACGCAACTGCAACACTGTCATCACGTGAGACATTCCATTCACAATCACAAAAATGCAGAAAAGAGAGAAAAGAAAATTGCTGTCACCAAACATCTTGTGAAATCCTGGGTCACTACCATCGTCTTTTCCCCTATTCTTCTCGTCTCCTCTCTCGTCTCCTCTCCTCCCCATCTCCCATCCTGTTCCTCTACCATACTCTACTTCTCCCTCACTGTATCTCCTCTTCTACTTCCTCCTTCCCTCCCTCCTCTCTCCTCACTCCCATCAGCTCCCCTGCTATTTTTTCCGACATCACTCAAACAACATTGAACCAGGACCGCACCGCGAGGCGTCAGTTGAACTCGCGGACCCGGCCCCCCGCCGGCCCGCCCGGCGTGGAGGCCCGGGGCCGGGCCGTGCTCACTGTCAGTCAGTGCAGTGCCGCGCCGCACTCGAGTCACTGGACGGTCATCAGTCTCGGCGGGGCGCTGAGCAGTGAGACGGTCACTGCCACGGTGACAGTGCCCGGACTCGCCGGGTACGGTCAGGTCAGGCCCGCGGGGGGCGGCGGCGGGCCGAGGGCGGCCGGGCGGTCTATCCGGCGTCCGGCGGCCCGGGCCCGGCCCGCGGGGGGCACGGTGATTTCAGTGCCAGCCTTGGCACCCGGCCGCGCGGCCTCACAGTGAGTGGCGCGGCCACCGCGCCGGGCCGTCAGCCGCCGGCCGGGCGCGCCCGCGGCACTGCGCACGCCGACTCGCTGGCGCGGCTCAGTCAGCCTTGACGGTGGGACCCCCCGGGGACTCTCACAGAGTCTGCGGCCGGCGCGGCCCCGTGAATCTCACTGGTCAGTAGTACTAGGGTCAGTGACACGCCAAGCCCCCCTCACCGTGCCCGTGCGGTCCCGGCGGTGCGGCTACCCTACCCACTAAAAGCCTATTGATTGGGCCCATTCCTCTCTAGTAAGGTGCAGGACCTGGGTGGGTAGTGACCCCTACCCTATGATAATCATGTTTGAAATGGGGTAGTGAAGGGGGTGTTTGCACTAATCGAAAAGATAAGTAAACATTTGAAATCTCAGACATGGCGCGAGTAGAGCTGCGAGGCGGCGGCGGCGCCTTATGGCAGAGGGTGAGAGGATGGAGATGGAGATGGAGATGGAAATATCTGAACATTGAACTACGATGACGTTGGATATCGTGAAGATCGTGATAATGCATATGATGGTGGAGATATGCGACACTGCTGTTATGGTTGTAGTTTTTGTTGTTTTTGTTGTTGTGATAAATAGGAGGATAAATCGTCGAAAGGATGTGACCTTGCTCATGTGTCAATAACAGACTCCAAAGATAAGCAGCGATGGGACAATATTTACAGCATGTCGACCGACGGAAGGGAAGGTGCAGATTGGACTTGAAATTTCCCCGCGTATGACAATCCATCATAGATTGGAATGGGGACTGTAAACTTCTCTCATATCTGCTTTGCTCAGAATGGTGAACGGTATTGAAACTTCTCGCATACATTTGCTTTCTTCTAAGCTTAGCCCTGGAAGGTTTGTCGGAGTTGACGAGGCAGGGGACATTTTTGTATTCCACTTGAGAGGAAACAGATTTTCACTCGTCGGGCGGTCGAAGCTTTCTTTGGAATACCTCTTGTACTCATCTTCAGAGAGGAATGAAGTCATTTTCGCCACGAAGGATCACAGGTGCCCCCCGTCTTCATGGCATCACTTTGTGTTGGGTCTTAATTGTTCACAACAGCATTCACTTCATAGATGTGATGTCGAAAGAGAGAATCGTAAAGTTGAAGGTGAGAAGAGAAAGACCCACGTCCCATCATGATGCTTGAAGCGCCAGGCGCACAAGCATGCCATCAGCTGTCTGGAGCTTCACCCAAGGGGCACGTACCTGGTTAGCTGCAGCTCAGGTGCAAGACAGGAAGGAGAGCGAAGAACTGAGGTTGTGATGTAGATGTCTGCATCTTGTGGGACATGAAAACTCGCAACAAGATCAAGAACGTGAGCTCGAATCCTAGTCCCCCTGCGGCCAACCTGAACCACGTGCAGTTTGCTATGATGGACTTTCAGGCCCTGAAAGCGTGTTTTGTTCCTGACGGTGGGGATAATATCAGCATTGAGAATGCGAGGTGACGATGGAGCAGGAAACACACTGATCGTCTTATCCAAGTCGTCTGAGATCCTCCTCCTTCACTTTCCGACGCTGCAAGTGCGATCGCGTCTGATATGTACTTCACACGAAGGTAACGATGGGGCATCGGGGATTGTGGCAAAGGATTTTAACGGCCTCTCAGGCTCGAAAGTCTCGCTGAAAAACCTCGTTGTTACGTCAAGCGGGAAATACTTCGTTGTTGTTTCCCACGGTAAGATCTGAACGAAGGGGAAGAGCGGAGGAGGAGGAGGAGGAGGAGGAGGAGGAGGAGGAGATACAGGAAGAGCAGAAGAGAACATCTCCACGACCTGACAAAAAAGGTTCCAGACGGCTCGGCGTATGTGTGGGACCTTGTTTCTGAGTCCTTAATCGACGAGTTCCAGCTCCCTTCAGCCCTTGGGTGATCTTTGGACCCCTTCCTTTCTCGATCCTACATCTTCCTCCTCTCTCCCCTTCCTTTTCTCCCTCCTTGTCGCTGCCGTCCCTTCTGTCCATTCTCACGGCCTGGCAGGGACAATCTGTCTGCACTTCAGCCCATGTACTTCGGGCAGACACAGAAGGAGCCGGAGGTGAAGGAGGCAAGACCTCCTCCTCCTCCTCCTCTGACTTGCAGCAGAGCCACTGCATCGCTTGTCTGTGTGGCGACTCGCAGCTCCGCGTCTTTCAGGTCCCTGAAGGTAACGCAAGTCGAAAGCTTCTCCTCCTTCTTGGATCTGTTCCCCCTCCCGTCCTCTGGCTTCTCATTCTCCTCCCTCCTCCCTCCCTCTCAGCTCTCACTCCTTGACGAATCCCTCAAGGACTCCTGTTGTTCTCCTGCGATGTCCCTTGCCATGCCTTCAGCATCATCGGGAGACGGTAAGAATTGATGCATCAACTAGGCAGATGTTTGCTCCCTCCCTTCATTTTTCCTCTCCTTCGCTCCTCATGCCCAGCCCAGCTCCTCTCTCTCCTCCCTCTCACTGTCCATCGCTCCAGAGTTGCCTTGTGCTGTCCAGATTCAACTCTCAAGCTCTGTGAACTTCGTGGCCGCAAAGTCAAGGTCTCTGCTGGGCTCGAGCTAGTGGGGACGTGTGACTTGCTCTTTTCTCCTAGGCCACCGGCAAGGAGGTGAATATTTCCCTCCTGCACAGGATCGAACCAACGGCAGCAACGAGCGAATTCGAGAGGGAGGAGGAGGAGGAGGAGGAGGGGGAGGGGGAGGGGGAGGGGGAGGGAATGGTTCAGGACGAGAATTCGAGGCCTGTGAGGCAGGAGGGAAGGAAAGGCGTCTCCTCGGTCAAGAAGAGACAGGAAGTCGACACTGACCCCGCCTACTCGGACTGGAGGAGGAGAAAGGAAAGATTGTTGGCCTTCCTGGACATCCACGACAACTTTCCTGAGAGGTTCCGCGAGCAAGTCTACAGACAGCTTTTGCGCCTTCCGAGGAATCAGTAAGCATCTCCCTCCCTCCCGCCCTCCCTCCCGCCCTCGCCTCAACTTCTCCCTTGCCGCTCCTCGTCGCCCTCTCTGAATCCGTCCCTTCTTCCTCTTTTTGTATTGTCTTTCTCCTCACTTCTGTGCTCATAAATAATCGTTTTCAAGGCAAGCTTTCAACACTTTGGTCAATATGGGCTTGCACCCTCTAGCTACATCGCAGGTGAGGGGTAGGGGATGGGGGTGGTGAGGGGGGAGGAAGAGGAGGAGGAAGGCGGTGTTGTTAAAGCCCAGCAGCTGCAGGCCTACATGCTTTCCGACTCTCGACTGCGTCACAGGCTCTCCCGCGTCGTCCACGTCCTCGCCAACTGGTGTGAAGCTCTCGCCTGCAGGTAGAGGAGGAGGAGGAGGAGGAGGAGGAGGATATGTTGAGAGAAGGGCTGAAGAAGCTGTTCAGCTCGTTTCTTCCCTCCTTTGCCTTTCCCTGGGGAAAGTTTCACGGTCGCGACGACTGTCTGGCGGGTGAGGAGGATTGAGAGGTCCCAACCCTCACGCTCAAGTTGCCGCAGCTGAGACATGCATCATGTTCTTCCTCACTGGCACACAACTCGGTTTCCACGGTCCCTCCAACGCCCCCCCCCCCCCCACCACCACCACCACCAAACACACACACTCATCCTCCTCCTCCTCCTCCTCCTCCTCCTTTCTCATCTTTTTCCTTCAGTTTTGGCCATCGCCGCCTGTCCACTTGCTCTCAACTGTCGAAAGACTCCTCTTCGCCAAGGACTCACAGCTCTTTCGACACCTCGACAAGGTTCTTCTCGCCTCCTACTCCTCCTACTACTCCTCCTACTCCTCCTACTCCCTACTCTGCCGCCGCCAACACCTTTCCCTCGTCCTCCTCATCCCCCATCCACCCTCTCTTCCTTCTCTTTCCTCTCACTTTCCCTCCTTGCAAGCATCTTGCCCTTACTTGATTCACAGATTGGCCTCAAACCTCAGGATTACATGTGGCCGCTCCTACGAAGTGCCTTCTCGGAGGTTTGAAACCTCAACTCAGTTCTCCTCTTCCTCCTTCCTCTTTCCTCCTTCCTCTTCCTCTACTCACCTGGCCTTCAGGTCCTTGACAGGAATTCTTGGCTTCACATCATGGATCATATTCTGGTACATCTCCTCCCCTCCTTCTCTCCCTTCTTTCAACCCTCCAGTTCATTTCCTCAAGTTGATTTGCTGCTTGCTTGTCCCCCCCCCTTCCCGCTCTCCCTTCCTTCCTCTGCCCGGCCCCTCACCCTACAAGCAGGTCAAGCCAACCTCTTTCATCTACTGCGTCCTCGTCGCCTTCCTCGTCCACTCGCGCGCAGCCATCATGTCATTGAAGAATCAATCGCAGGTAGGGAGAGGGAGAGAGGGATAGCAGGTTGACTGATTATGCAGATGAATCTGTTCCTCACGCGTGCCAATCCCGTCGATGCGAAAGTGATGGGGAGGAGGGCAGAAGGGGGGGGGGGGGGGGGGGCAAGGGGCGAGGAGGTTGGTGGATGGAAGGTCGGA